TTAGTATGCAATAAGATTCCTGTATGGTCCCTAGTACAGTCGACCTACAATATGTCAATGTCTCAAAACCTTGTTAAAAGTCAAGGCGCCTACATTCCTCCTTCACTGAGCTTTTATATCGGTTGCATAAGCCTTCGGCAAGTATGAGAGTTCTATTCGGGTTCTCGCAGCGTTCTGGTGAGTCTGGTCAGGTTCTGCTAGGGTTTTGGGTGGCTCGGGTGGACCGCAGGAGCCTTATACAGGTAATATCGAAGCCTAAATAATTACCAGAATTACTGTCCGGGGTCCTTGCTATAGTAATACTATAAAGGAGCCCAAAACCCTATTCAACTTATTAAGGCCCCTACATGAGGGTCCGAAATTAAAATCCTGAGAGGGAGACTTAAGACCCCTGGCCTCGACCCCGAAACCCGAAGCCCTGAACCCTGGATGCCAAGACTCTAAGCCGGATCCCGAATCCCTGAAAGCTAAACTAGACCCCAAAACCCAAAGCCCTACAGACCCTACATGAACCAAAACCCTAAGCCGCACAGACCCTACATGGATAGTTCTCTAAATTAGGGTCCCTTTTTAGGTCCAAAATAGTAGGGCACCCTTGTAAAAAGGAGCATACCTATTTTCAGAAAACTGGGGTTGCTTGAAAGTGCTTGGATGCCCCTGCCAGGATGCAGCAACTGTCCCAGCTCCACAGCAACCTGCAGCAGCAGGTTCAGACGAAGCGGCAGCAGCGTCTTGTCTGACAGATCTGGTGTTCATCGCAAGGATTAGAGTTTAGGGTTTTCAATTTTGGGGCTTCGTTGAACCCCAGATCTTGAAGCCAGCGCACATCTAAGGCTCATGCAAGAGCTTGAGTTGGAGCGGCAGAAGCATCTTGGCTTACGCACAGCCGCAAGACAGGCGTTTCGAAATGACGAGCCATGGTTTCAACAGCATAACTTATCGAAGAATGGGTTTATAAAGTAAGGATCAAGCGGTTTAAGAATGGGTTTAGGATTCAGGGTTTAGGGGTTCCAACACAGCCCCCGAGCCTTTAGTTCAGTGCAATCGGACGTGATTCTACAGGAGGCTGTCGGTTCGAACCCGAAAAAGTCCCCACAACTTAAAGAAGAACCCGGCACGGTTTAGGGGTTTAGGGTTTAGGGTTTAGGGTTTAGGGTTGAAGGTCGGGACCGAACAGGTAATATAGGGGCCTTAATAATTACCGGTACCCCTTTGGGGGTTCCTTGTTAATTACAAGTGACTAGAGTATAGTACTATAATATAATATACCCCAAACCCCTATTCTAATTATGAAGGCCCCTATTTTACCTCTGAACCCTAAACCCTAAACCCTAAACCCTCTGAACCTTAAACCCTAAACCCTAAACCCTAAACCCTAAATCCTAAACCCTAAACCCTAAACCCTAAACCCTAAACCAAACAATCACAACCCGGCCCCCAAGGTCTCAGGCAAAAGCAGCAGAGGATGCCAAGGCTCCCCGGCAGGGGTCTTTTCTTAAAGGATCCTGGGACTTAGTAAGTAGGGTTTAGGGTTTAGGGTTTAGGGTTATAATTAAGGCAACTATACTTATAACCCCAATTAGGGGACTTATAACCTTACTTACTAAGTCCCATGATCCTCCAAGTATAGGATGGCCTAAATACTTCGAAGGCGGCTTTGGGATACTTGATAGTCACTGTGTAGTAAGGAACCCTAAGGAATTACACGTTATTAAGGCCCTATATGAGGACTGTTGAAAGTTGCGGTCTAGAGAACACGCAAAATCAGAGTGCACAATTAGGAATGCTATTCCGCAGGGCTCCGTAATCTTGTTGCAGTATATCCCAAGGTCATTGAGGCAAAAGAATCGAAGCCGAAATAGAGCCTGGGCTACTAGCTCATGTCGCCACTTGCGTTCACCCATTTAAAGATCGGGGGACTTACGGCAGGTATAACACTTGCAAGCCACAGCTCCCTAAACCCTAAACCGTGGCTCCTGGCATAGAGCCAGATCCTAGGACCTATTCTTCCAAGTCACAGCCGCACGGAATCATGCAAGGCTGACCTTTTCAGAGGTCCCCGAAACCAAGTCCAAGCAAATCGGTTAAGGTACCTTTAATAAAGAGTTTCCGAGTAAAAGATGAAGGTAGAAAGCCGTGGCTGTTCTCTGGGAATTGACTTGGCTACGAATAAATATGATTCTAGACCCTAAAGCCTAAACCCTAAACCCTAAACCCTAAAGCCTCAGCCCGAACTCTAACCAAACCCTACACACCTGACCCTAAGCCCTAGTAAGGCCCTGGTCATACGGATGATGATATAAATCCTGCATTACCCATAACAAGGAATAGACCATAATTCCCATAGTTTATAGTAAGGAATATACCATAATTCCCATAGTTTAGGGTCCTTAAGTACTATACGGTAATGCAGGATATATTTTTTATCATCAAAAGTACCTGCCTGTGTTCACTTAAGTGGCCATTTCTAGCACTTCTCCACAGGTGCAGGCCCAGCCATGGAATGCCGGACCCTTAGCGAAAGGATCCCCTAAAGTCCCAACTTGTTTTGGGAGGTATTTTAGGGGCTTAAACTATTACCAATACTGTATAATACTGTTTTGGGGTGCAAGTTAAGTAAAAAAAGATTGTTTTGGGGTTTAAGGTTTTAGGGTTTAGGGTCAGGGTTTAGGGTTTAGGGTTTGGGTAATACGATTTTGGGGTTCCTTGTTATGGTTATAGTATAACGGTACCCGAAAGCCCTCTTCTACTTATTAAGGCCCCTACATGAGCGAGCTCTCTGGATCATGCGGGGCTGAAGTTTGGAAGCCCTAACCCCCAATCTCAGAACCTTTGACTGCCGAAACCCTAAACCCTAAACCCCTAAACCCTAAACCCCTAAACCCCCAAACCCTAAACCCTAAACCCCTGAACCCTAAACCCTCAACCCCTGAACCCCTGAACCCTAAACCCTAAACCCTCAACCCCTGAACTTGTAATGTCCCGCTTGGGCAACAATGCACAGATTCATGTTCCGTTTCTGTGTCCGTGTTGCTTTCCGTGAGGCCGCGGCCTTCCGTTGTCGATTCCGTTCTGTGTTACTTATGTCCTGGATTTAAGATTTCGGGTTTAGGATTTGGGGTTTACAACTATGTCCAGGATTTAACATTTCGGGTTTAGGATTTGGGGTTTACAACTTCCAGGAAACAGGGTTCATGGTTTGGGCTTTAAAGTTTAGCCGGTCAGAAAAACTAGCTGTTGCTACGTCGTGTTGCACAGAAGAACGTGGTCCTTCCAACGATCAGTCGTCTGGGTTCGGTGCAATCGGCGCGGTCCCCAGAGACTCCCAAACCCCTTTATTAAGGAATGTACCTTAAACCATATTAGGATTCCTATTATAGTTTAAGGTATGTTCCTTAATTAAGGGGTCTTGGCGTCTTTGGGTCGAATAGTAAAATGCGTATCCGGGATCCCAATACGAAGCAGGGGGTTGCTTCATCAGCTTCCTGTTATGACGATGCAGCATGTACCGCACTGGCGTTGCTGCTTTTCCTTGCCAGGCACATCCGCAGACAATGCAGCCACAGCAGATGGTCCAACCGCAGCAGACAGTGCCGCAGCAGATGGTCCAACCGCAGCAGACAGTGCCGCAGCAGATGGTCCAATCGCAGCAGACAGTGCCACAGCAGATGGCGCAACCACAGCAGACGGTGCCACAGCAAATGGCGCATCCGCAGCAAACGGTTCCACAGCAGTTGGCTCAGCCACAGCAGACGGTTCCACAGCAGTTGGCTCAGCCACAGCAGCCGCAGAATCTTGGTTGCTATTCTGTGAAGTTGGAGTTGGTTGAATCAGAGCCTAAGAGACCCGATACAAACATTTACGGCATCCCCAATGCTTAAGCATCCCACAGTTGCAGGAAAGTGGTACATTTCACGGCATCGTGCTCGGTGAGTTTGCGAAACTCCACGAAACAGAAACAGGGATCCTGACTTAAAAGAGCCCCGACCAAGTGAGCAAAGCACTTCAAATTTTCCCGAGCCCCCATTTCAAGTTCAAGGGGCCGGGCTGCAGCCTTCTGAAAGGTAGGGGAAAGCTCTGATCACAAAAGCACTTCTTCTGGAAACGGTGATGCTCAGCCTTCAAACAGAGGCCTCAACCGTCACGACACAGCCTGCGAGCATTTTATGATGGACTCCTAAACCGTAAACTGAAGCCCTGTATCCCAAAAGTTTCAGCAAAGCGAACAAAGCCCTGGATAAGTCTGTCATAAAGCCTGAACCAAGAAATCCTACACAACCCTGCAAACCCCTGAGAAGGAAAGCCCGATAAAACACTGGCAAACTCAAAAGCCGTGTAACAGTTTCAAACCCGAATACGAACCTAAACCCTAAACCCTAAACCCTAAGCCTGAAGTAAGCCCAACGCCGGTTGAATTGTCAAGTCTTTCAGAAGGGCCCTGGTTCAACATGAGGGGGGTGCGAACGATGGCTTGCCTAGACCCCAAAGAACCTACCTTTGAAGGACTCATATAAGGAAGTCATACTAAGGAACCCTGAATAAGGAAGGTTTTATAGAGTCCAGGTAAGGTTGGGGCTTTGGAGTTGACGAAGCCTGAATCGTAGGGTTTTTGGGTTCTGTAAAGTCTTGGGCGCTCAAAGTGATTTAGAGCTGTGACAAGAGTTTATAGGGTTCTCTTAGAAAGATCTCTTCCGATTTTTTTCAGGAGAGACATGTGAGACAGGAGGTTGAGGTTCAAGGCTCCTAAACCCTAAACCCGCCTAAACCCTAAACCCGCCTAAACCCTAAACCCTAAACCCCCCTACACCCAAGACCCTAAACCTTGAGGGTTTGGGATGTAGGAGGTTAGAGGTTTAGTAGGGTTAAGGACTTCAGCTCAGGGTTGATCCCGAGCCCCTACGCCTAACACCGTGGAAACCCTCAAAACCCTAAACCCTAAACCCTAAACCCCAAACCCCTAAACCCTAAACCCCTAAACCCTAAACCCTCAAAAACACGAGGATGGTGGTGCCAGCTCAGCCCAATCCATACGCCGAGCAGAGACTTGACAGCAACTGCGGGGGTTTAGGTGTGGGGCTTTGGCTTTAGGGTTTAGGGTTTTAGGGTTTAGGGTTTTAGGGTTTATGGTTTAGGGCTTAGGGCTTAGGGCTTAGGGCTTTAGGGGTCAGAGGTCAGGTTAGGAGGTTTGGGTCCAGGGTTTAGCCCTAAACCCTCAACCCTAAACCTTAAACCCTAAACCTTAACCTTCTTTAGGGGGTTTTGGGGGGCTCAGCTTTCAATCCCGATACCCTGAACCTTCAGCCACCTCAAGTCCTGAACCTCCAAAACCCCGAACCCCAACAAACCCTAATGTAGCGGCCATTTGTTTTTGCAATAGGGTTCCCTTAAAGTGTTGCTATAAGGGTTATTATAAGGACTCTGTAAGGGTGTAATGTAGGGGCCTTAATAATTAGAATAGGGTTTTGGGGGGTATATTATATTATAATTGCAACAAGGACCCTTCAAAATCCTATTCTAATTATCAAGG